GAATGTCCGACATAGGACAATGGATTTTCTCGTGAAAGCGGGAGTTGCCAACCATTCCGACNTGTGAGTCCGCGCGGGTAGGTACCACCGCCCTGCCTATTTCTGCCGTGAAGCAGTAATGCGTTTCGGTCTGAAGGGTAGGGTAGCTGTTGTAACTATACTGAGATCTTAGAACTTATATCTCAAGGAGGGTGGCGCATTTACGTTGTAGATATCTATGGGCTCCAGTAACCACTTAACACCAGGTGGGCTGTGAGCTCGTCCATCTATCTAAGCAATAAAAAAAAAATTAAAAAGATTTAATCGATAAAATTATCGATTAAATAATCGATTCTATTATTTAATCGAATACGAAATATCGGATATAATTTAATAACAATACCAAACTCGAGCTTATACCATAAAAGTAGTTTAAATTAAATTTTGTATAGTTTAGAAACACCGTCTCGTTTAATTATAAACTAACATTACAAAATCGAGAATGTCCGACATAGGACAATGGATTTTCTCGTGAAAGCGGGAGTTGCCAACCATTCCGACGGTGAGATTAAACTTGGCCGGCACACGTTACCACCTGAGGCGAGCCTCGCCAAGTTCTTCGTACTTCCAAATTTTAATAAATCCTCCTTTTTAATACGCTTTTATTAGTTTCAGACGTATGTATGTAACGGAATCTTTGAGCATAATTTTGACCCCCTTCAAAACGTCGGATTAATTCAAAATTTGGTATTAAGGACCGATGACAATTCAAAGTTAAAAAATAATAATGAAAAAATTGAAATATGTACAACTAAAAAATTAAAAATAAATAATAGTTTAAAAAAACTAAGCAAATACGCTTTTCTAGAAAGTCCAACTAAAAAATAGATTTTTTTTTTAATAAATTTCAATTAAAAATTGTGTAAGAAAAAAGATTTTTTTATAAAAAAAGCTATTATTTTTACAATAAAAGCGAAAATTTATCGCCCTTTTCGGCTCTATCCTTCATACCTTTATCAAACTTGAATTCATCTGTTTTATTTTACGTAAACTATTAGAGAACGCTCTGAGAAACAATAAAAACAAGAAGAAAACGGGACATTAATCTCGAGCCCACGTCTAAAGGTGTGGGGCTCCGGACTTCTGTCACTATTTCGGTAAACAGTGGAACTATCCGCCCATTTATGCCAAAAAACATTCTCTTTGTAGACAAACCTAAGCATTTACTTATACTAGAGGTCCCGCAGTAGTCGAAATTCGACTATAATTACTTGGAATTGTAAGTTTGTACACTGTTATGATTGCATTTTATACTTCTATAATCACAAATTTCGCCAGAGATACACTATAAAAAATATTAACAAAGACAAACAATATTTATTCTATTCTCAATTTGACCACAAACGTCAAGAACAAAAGTTTGTCAATAAATAGTATGCATGCGTGTGTGTAATGTTTTCATTATTGATTTAATGTATCTTTTATGCATTATTTAAAAAAAATATCAGCATTGTGCACTTCTTCTCTATATTCTCTATAAGTGTGAAAAATTTCATACTCCTCCGTCCACGCAATTTTCGTAAAAAGGGATACAAAGTTTTTGCTTCACGTATTAATCTTTATTTATATGTATAAGATGTCATCTCTCAAGCTAAACTGAAATTCTTGTATTGACTATTACACTAGTAACTTTAGTGATTGTTTGCCGATCACGTAATGATAGCAATATCCTGAATACAATAAATATCGCAGACAATTTTTTTTAGTAAATCTTTATAAAATTATTTTTAATTAATTTTTATTTGCATAGATGGGTGGACGTATTCACAGCCCTGGTGTTAAGTGGTTACCGGAGCCCATACATTTATTGAAGTCGTCGTGGCCTAGCGGATAAGACATCCAATGCATTCGTGTTGAGCAATGCACCGGTGTTCAAATCTCAGGCGGGTACCATTTTTTCTAATGAAATACTTACTCAACAAATGTTCACGATTGATTTCCTCCACGGTGAAGGAATAACATCGTGTAATAAAATTGAAACCCGCAAAATTCTAATTTGCGTAATTACTGGTGGTAGGATCTCTTGTGAGTCCGCGCGGGTGGGTACCACCACCCTGCCTATTTCTGCCGTGAAGCAGTAATGCGTTTCGGTTTGAACTGCTTACCGGAAGTCTATGGGAGGCTTTATGTCGCCAATTACGTCATTCACTAAAGTTCACATAAGATTTCCAATGTATTGCTTAATTAATGTCCGACCCAAACAAAACGCAACATAATTACCCAGATCCATACATTTACGGATATGATTTTTAGTATACAACTTTATTCCTTGATTGTTGTAATCTTTCACGAAATTTTCTTAATTACGTATTTCCTTGGAAATATTAATGTCTGCCAAGAAATCGCATTAAATCTCTTAACACTAGTTAGTGCATAACAAGAGTTCTGTCCGCAATGCGGCCCCACTACATTTGATGGGTAACTTCATACATCAACCTTCACCGGCTTACGCTGACATATGAAATTCTATTACAGCCTCCCCCGGTTGTACTTGAACGGTGGGTGCACGGAGGCGGGAGGCGGGTCATGTTAGGTTGGATAATTCGAGTACCTGTCAAGCGATTCGCTGGAAATTAGAGAGAACGGACTATGAGCTGACAATGTTGGAAATTGCATTACCCAAGCGTCAAGGAATCGAATTTATATTGAATATGATACAAATTGACGGAATGGGGGAGCGAAACTCGTCACAGACCTAAAATTCGTTACTGGCTTTATTAAATTAGATACAGTAAATTATAATTATCCGCTTAGAGGCGCTTCCTTGAACTTTATGAAGGAGATTTTCGAAAGGATTTTTTTTAATGTTCAATTTCGTATTAACTTTATTCTTTTTATGATTTCTATAATTTGATTCAAGGTTTTCCGATAATTTTTAATTTATTATCTATCTTACAGTAAAATTATTTGTCAATTTCATGGTTATTAGATTTTATTTTACTTAATTACAGTAAAATATATCAGTGGGTAGTTCGAAAAAAAATACAATAAGTGTGTGACGAACATCCTGGCATTGCTGAAGTCCATGGGCGACGGTAACCTCTCACCATCAGATGGGATGTATGCTCATCTGCCTACTACGGCAATAAAAAATAAATAAAAAAACCTAAAAGAACGGTTTAAATTCTCGCCTGTTTTAAGCTTGCTTCTAAATACAAACTTTCACAAATATCAAAAAACGTACCGATACTAGGTGGTAATAAGGCTTAATCATATCCAAATTGGACTATCTGTGTCCCAAAATGTTTTTGAAAAATATAAATTTATATTAATATTGAAAAAACGAACTCTCAGCCTATGCATACAATGGGATGGGAGGCTCTAGATGTGTTAGAAGTGTGAAGTATACACATCGTCAAAGGTTACTGGATGTTTCGTTGATTACGGGACGTATTTCGGTTTCATGGGATTCTACCGCTGANATATCCAAATTGGACTATCTGTGTCCCAAAATGTTTTTGAAAAATATAAATTTATATTAATATTGAAAAAACGAACTCTCAGCCTATGCATACAATGGGATGGGAGGCTCTAGATGTGTTAGAAGTGTGAAGTATACACATCGTCAAAGGTTACTGGATGTTTCGTTGATTACGGGACGTATTTCGGTTTCATGGGATTCTACCGCTGACAACAAATGTTTTCAATTGAATCGAAAACATTGTTCTGGTCTTAAAATTGAATATTGAATATTATTTTATGTATTATTATTTTATGTATTATTTAAAATTTATTTGTAATAAAAAATTGTAATAAAATTTTATTTGTAGCTACTTAAATCTTAAATTTATAAGTAGATTGATGCGCCGATTTGAGTGTCAAATAACTATATGAAAATATAAAATTTCTTGAAACTACTCACGCATCGCCTATGCTTTTTATACCGTATAATAAATATATTAAGCCTATATGCTATCTTGATTTACTATGTATAAGCTATTGCATAGTGAAGATTCATGAAAATTCGTCCAATATTTTGTCTGAAAGAGTAACATACAAGTCTTGTCGATTCTATCATATGTAATCTACATAAAAGCTTCAGCTATTTATTACATGATCAGATACTAAATTACATAAAGCACGAAATCACAATTTGTGACATTTCTCTCTAACACACAAATATTATTCTTGCTCTAATACTACTAGAGATAGTATTGTATCAGCTATGATGTAGGTTGATTTGGATTTTAAAAACGTATTCAACCTGGCTAGAGTGCCTTACCAGAAATTGGCAAACGTAGACTGGAAATGGTCAGAGGTTTGAGCAAAGCATTTGGTTACAATGAGTTATGGGTTCAAGTTATATCTAGAAAAAATAATTCCGAAGAAAAGAAGAAAAATAGAAGAACAAAAATATGAACCTTCAAGCCGAACCGTAAGATTACTTAGTGGCAAAAATGTTCTAGATAGCAATACTAATCGTCGTGTGCTAACTCGAACCCTTATCACTAGAAATAAAGATAGAAATTAAAGCTAGTTTATAATCCCTAGTATCGCCATCCTTCTCGATTCAGTCATTCTTTTTTTATTGCTTAGATGGATGGACGAGCTCACAGCCCACCTGGTGGTAAGTGGTTACTGGAGCCCATAAACATCTACAACGTAAATACGCCATCCGCCTTGAGATATAAGTTCTAAGGTCTCAAGTCAACAACGGCTACCCTACCCTTCAAACCGAAACGCATTACTGCTTCACGGCATAAATAGGCAGGGCGGTGGTACCTACCCGCGCAGACTCACAAGAGGTCCTACCACCAGTAATAAACCACTCAACCAAGTAAACCATTCGTTCTGTTTTGAAGGGGATAGCCTTTTTAAAAAACAATTGAGACCTCAATCTCATGTTTTAAGACGGATGGAGTCGATCGCGTTACGGTTTTTATGAGTTCTAGTCACCACTTAACAAAAGATAGAAGAGGAGATCGTGTATCATTAAAAAGAAAAAGAAAAGCGAAACTTACCTTTCCGGCGTGGCGAGTGTGAGGTTCGGCGCTGGGAAGGCACCTTCCGCTGCACAGATGACGTTCACTGTGTCATCGTCTGTTTTGTTCTGTATCAACCGGAAATTGGTCTCCGGCACTGTAATTAAATATCTTAGGTGAATAACTTTGAGCATATGATGTTCGAGACCACAGTTATACATATTTCAAATTTCTTGTAAACGCATTTTCAACGTTTCAAGTTTTGAGCTATTAATACGCTTTTATTAACTTCAGACGTATGTAATATTATACATGTTAGTAGGTTAATATGTAACGGAATCTATGAACATGATTTTGACCCCCGTCAAAACGTCGGATTAACTCGAACTTTGGTATACTTATTAAGGACCGATGACAATTCAATATTTCAATCCATACCCTGGGCCAGGAAGGTCAAGTACCTGGGCGTTACCCTGGATGCATCGATGATATTCCGCCCGCATATAAAATCAGTCCGTGACCGTGCCGCGTTTATTCTCGGTAGACTCTACCCCATGATCTGTAAGCGGAGTAAAATGTCCCTTCGGAACAAGGTGACACTTTACAAAACTTGCATAAGGCCCGTCATGACTTACGCGAGTGTGGTGTTCGCTCACGCGGCCCGCACACACATAGACACCCTCCAATCCCTACAATCCCGCTTTTGCAGGTTAGCTGTCGGGGCTCCGTGGTTCGTGAGGAACGTTGACCTACACGACGACCTGGGCCTCGAATCAATTCGGAAATACATGAAGTCAGCGTCGGAACGATACTTCGATAAGGCTATGCGTCATGATAATCGCCTTATCGTTGCCGCCGCTGACTACTCCCCGAATCCTGATCATGCAGGAGCCAGTCACCGTCGACGCCCTAGACACGTCCTTACGGATCCATCAGATCCAATAACCTTTGCATTAGATGCCTTCAGCTCTAATACTAGGGGCAGGCTTAGGGACCCCGGTAACCGTACTCGTCGAACTCGACAAAGAGGTCGACGTGCAACCTAACCCATGCATCAGCCCGCTGAGTTTCTCGCCGGATCTTCTCAGCGGGTCGCGATTCCGATCCGGTAGTAGATTCATTCGCGAAGCAGCTACTCTTGAGTTGTTAGGTCTCCTTCGGAGGCGCTCGGGTAGCTGTTAGCAAATCCCACCCCTCCTGGCTGAGCCTTTGCTCGCCCACCTGTCCTGGTGAAACTGGAAAGGCCTCCGGGCCACCAGTAATCCTTCAATCATAAAAAAAAAAAAAAAAAATTCAATATTAAAAAAAATTGAAATTCAACTAAAAAATGAAAAATAAATAATAGTTGAAAAAAAGAAAAAAATACGCTTTTATAGAAAATCCCACTAAAAAATAAATCTTAATAAATTTGCTGCTTTTCAGGATATTATCAAAACAACCCTTCTACTAATAACATGCACCCTACGCTTTTTTAACAATAAAATCATTTTTTCTTACACTATTTTTAATTCAAATTTATTAAGAATTATTTTCTATTTTTTAGTGGGATTTTCTATAAAAGCGTATTTTTTTGTTTTTTTAAACTATTTTTTTATATGCTAAGATGAATGGAACAGCTCACGGCCCACCTTGCGTTAAGTGGTCACTGGAGCTCATAGACGTTAAGCACGTTATTGCCGCTGCCCATCTTGAGACAAGAGTTCTAAGTCTCAGTTTTTACAATATGAAGGCTGCCCTATCCTTCAAGCTCAAACGCATTACTGCTCCACAGCAAAAATATGCAGGGTATTGGTACCAACCCATGCGGGCTCACAAGACGTCTTACCACCAGTTACAAATAAAAAAGCACGCGGTAAACAAGCTTTGAAGTGAGCGGTGTTTTCGTTTGGGATAAAGACTATGACCTAATTACAATATTAAAAGAATAAAAATATATAATGATAGGGTGCGCTTTGGCTGTGACCATGGCATCGCTAATCTCCATCAGCAACGGTGATAACGATTAGGTAGGTCGTATGCTCGTAACAAATAAAAATAAAAACACGCGTGACACTCGGGGACTGCCGAGGTAAAACTATTGCATAGTGTTTTTTATCAACTTATGCAATTATAATTAGTCAATAATAATTTAATATAAAAACAATAATAAAATACGACCACGTTATATTTATAAACATGAACAAAGCAAAACAGTAACTGTCCACTTCACTCACATTCATAAGCTAGACCGCGCGAGAGAGAGATGGGCAGACTTTTCATGATGCGCATGCAGTGCGACGTCACGCCGTGCTCTTATTCACAAACACTACACAAGCGCAACGTGTGAATGTATTAAACGCGAGCTATATGGTAGGCGGAGTGGGGGTGTTAGGTTTTATTTTCGTTACGGAATTTCTTGATTCGGTCGCCTTGCTCAAAGCCCGCGATAAAAGCTATGCAATAGCTTAAAAATGAAAATGAAAGTACATTGAAAACGACAAAAAAATTTCACACCATCATTATATCAGCTTCCAATATTCTAGACACCACCACCGTTTTCACTATGAAAATAAAGACAAATCAATGGATTTATTGACATCAATGTTAGAATTTATTCGACGTTAATTATTTAGCGTACGAACACCCGCTGACCAGGCAAACAAAACACAAAACGACATCAAATTACTTGTCAAAAGCAGTACAGCATTGATTTCTTGCTACGACAACTGAAATATATTTGGTAAAATTGCTCGCCAATAGTTCTCGTGACATATTAACACAATACATTTCCAATAAAAGCAAAAAATATACAGGGTACCAGCTTCGTGCATTCGCAAAAGCACTTCACGTAATAATATTGACATGTCAGGTGTTGAAAATCTTTTCTCGGTTGAAGAATACGTCATAGGGAATACGAAATAACGCGGAGATATATTTATTCTTGAGCCGGATGACTCATAGCAAAAGTATTGTCTGTAATTGCTTTTTGGATTTCGCAATGTTCCAACAAACAAGGTAGGGGTTAACTCTGTTCTGGTAGCGAAAGGTACCTTTCAGGATCATACAGTATTCGACATTGAAAAAAAAATTCTCTCAACAGAGATGAATGGATTAATTACCAATAGAAGTGGCATGAATGACTAACTTGAATCATATAACTATACAGGAGCGTAGTAAAATGAAAACAAAATAAACGGAATGTTTCACACTAAATAGTTGGATGTGCTTATATGACCGTCATGTAGATTCGAAGGTTTCTTTTTTTGTTGGCTAACCGGAACTCTGTCGCCGGTAATGTAACGTTATACCTGTGTAACTGTTTACCCTTTGTCGGCATCGAGGTCAAACGATGTCTTACCGGACTATTAAATAACAGTGACATTGATTGGGGGAACAATCGATAGTATTATAGATACTGCGCAGATTTTTACTCGACACTGCTGGAGTCGCGGATATATTTGCTTACACTAGATGGCGCTGATTACTGTTCATACCAAATATTTAAAACTCGAGAATGGCTGGACCGATTTGGCTAATTTTGGTTTTGAATGATTTGTGGAAGTCCAGAGAAGGTTTAAAAGGTAGATCAATATAAAAAAAGCTCGGAATTAAATAAAAATAACAATTTTGTTTTTCCTTTGATGTGTCCCCCATCGGACGGATTCCTTTAGTTTGTTTTAAGTTTGATACGATCATTACACTATGCAATTGAGATTTACATTCATGTCTCAGGGTAGAAAAACAGACAAAAAATAAGAAGCAATTCATTTCTTTTCGCGTTGGTACTGATAAAGGTTATTAGAGCGAAGTTATAAAATGAAAATCGGTGAAAAATACTTTTTAAGATTTTCTTGCATACATGGATACCAAACCAATAAAAGCGTGTTCAAATGGTGTCTGCTCAACATATAATTTCACTTTCAATTTCAATCCAACAGAAACATATCACACGATATGAGTACAGCGGGCATCTCACTTATTAGGCTACGGCCGATCACAATGCGCCCTTTAATTTTCTCGACTACAAACCAAATCAAATTAAAAAAAATAATTATTCAACATAAATGAAAGTACATACTTGTTGAACGTCAAAAGTGCTACCGCCAATTCACAAAAACTAGCGTCCGTCCTGAGAAGAATTGGCAAGAAACTCAGCGGGTATGTCTTTTTTTGATTTTTAAATATTAGATACCTAGAACTTCCAAATAATGCATACAGAATCAAAACAAATACACACCAACAGCTTCTACTTTACTGGTGGTAGGACCTCTTGTGAGTCCGCACGGGTGGGTACCACCGCCCCGCCTGTTTCTGCCGTGAAGCAGTGATGCGTTTCGGTTTGAAGGGTGGCGCAGCCGTTGTGACTATACTGAGACCTTAGAACTATATCTCAAGGTGTGTGGCGCATTTACGTTGTAGATGTCTATGGGCTCCAGTAACCACTTAACACCAGGTAGGCTGTGAGTTCGTCCACACATCTAAGCAATAAAAAAAAAACTGTGTATTAATATTGGCCGAGAGATTTACGTCTAACCACATAATTAATTGAGAGTTGACACCGAACAATGATTTAGATCAACGTGTGCGTTTTCCAAATTAATAGCTCGCTCTGTGTTCGATCTGCGGTTAAATATTTCAATTTGTATTTCATGTTATGGGAGGTTAATTAAAATTGGAACTATGATTGGATAAGTATTGATGACGTAACGGCGCGATAAATGTGCTCGTGTCGAATTGACGGGCTTTTTATTTAACTAGAGGTCCCGTCCGTAGTCGAAATTAGACTATAATTAATTGGAATTGTAAGTTTGTACACTATTATGATTTTATTTTATACTTCTATAATCACAAATTTCGCCAAGACTACACTATAAAAATATTAACAAAGACAAACAATATTAAAATTTAATCTATTCTCAATTTGATAACAGACGTCAAGAACAAAAGTTTGACAGTAAATAATATGGATGCGTGTGTGCGTCAAATACATGGTGTGTAGTGTGTGACTTTTTCTTTATTGATTGAATATAATAATATCTTTTATGCATTATTTAAAAAAAAAATTAGCATTGTGCACTTCTTCTCTATATTCTCCATAAATGTGGAAAATTTCATACTCCTCCGTCCGCGCAATTTTCGTAAAAAGGATACAAAGTTTTTGCTTCACGTATTAATAAATAGATAAATACTAGTGGTCACCCGAAGTCAAAATTCGATCATAATTAATTAAAATTTTACGTTTGAACATTATTATGGTTCTATTGTCACATTTCTATAACTAGTGTTCTTCAATCACAGATTTCGCCAAGACCACACTATAGACAAATAATATTAAAGACAAACAACATTAATCTATTCTCAACTAAACCACAGATAACAATAAACTAAAGAGTATAATATAAGCGTGTATGTGTTAAATACATCGTAGTGTGTGTAATGTTTTTTATTGATTTAATGTATTTTTATGCATAGTTTTAAAAATATATTAGCATTCTGCACTCCTTCTCTGTATTCTCTATAAGTTTGGGAAATTTCATACTCCTCCGTCCGCGCAATTTTCGTAAACAGGGGTACAAAGTTTTTGCTTCACGTATTAATATAAATTCTTGGCATATTTTTAGTTGAATAATAATTAATTATTGTTAATCAACTTATTTGAAATTAGTAGGATCCTCCAAATCTTGTACCAACAGACTGCGATCGCCTTAATTGATATCAGGATGTATTTTAAGTCGCCCGGTTATTGCCACGAAACAATTATGCATTTTACTTTGGAGTGTAGATGTTAGACAAATAGAAATTTCTTTGGCTTTATATTTACTATAAACTACTTTTAAGGTTTAACCCCACGTTTTTGTTGTGGTCATTCGAATAGTCGCCCGTGACATTGAACAGATAAATTAAACAGTAAAATTAGTTTTAATTATGTTAGAATTAGAATTATGTTGTTTTTTTATTGCCCTTCTAGGCAGACGATACAAGTCCCACCTGGTGGTGAGTGGTTACCGTCGCGCGTGGACGTCAGCAATGCCAGGGGCAGAGCCCCTATACTGTAACTACACTGAGACCTTAGAACTCACATCTCAAACTGGGTGGCAGCATTTTCATTGTAGAATATGTCTATGGGCTCCGGTAGCCACTTAACACCAGGTGGACTGTGAGCTCGTCCAACAAACTGTGCAATAAAAAATAAAAAGCCAAGTCGCTATCTACCGTTAAATGCTCTCCAGAAGCCACGAAAAATATATTAGATATACGATTACGAACTTTGATGTATTTTAATAGGTATAATAAATATTATGTGGCAGAATTCACGCTATGTTGTCGGTTTTATGCAGTGATCGCTTTACAGAATGGACTTTGACCTCACTCGCACATTATCCAGACCAGGAACAATAACATTAGCTTTTGTGTTAAAAGCTCTATGAAAAAAAGAAAGTAGTTTGAATCATCGTGGCCTGAAGGATAAGACGTCCGGTGCATTCGTGCTAAGCGACGCACCGGTGTTCGAATCTCAGGCGGGTACCAACTTTTCTAATGAAATACGTACTCAACAAATATTCACGATTCACTTCCACGGTGAAGGAATAACATCGTGTAATAAAAATCAAATCCGCAAAATTATAATTTGCGTAATTACTGGTGGTAGGACCTCTTCTGAGTCCGCGCGGGTAGGTACCACCACCCTGCCTATTTCTGCCGTGAAGCTGTAATGCGTTTCGGCTTGAAGGGTGGGGTAGCCGTTGTAACTATAGTGAGACCTTAGAACTTATATCTCAAGAAGCGTGGTGCATTTACGTTGTAGATGTCTATGGATGCCAGTAACTACTTAACACCAGGTGGGCTGTGAGCGCGTCCACCCATCTAAGCAATAAAAAAAGTCCTTCGTCTCTTGGTAGCCAATGTAAATGTGGGCAGTGTAAGAGCTCAACAAAGTCCTAACTGCTTTTCCTGTTTCTTAATATTTTACAAATTAAATTATAATCAACTCTAAAAACGTTAAAGGAAACCACGGAAATAAAACAGTTGTAAGAAAAAAAGGAAGTAAATGTTTGCGGTAGCGTCGTCTTCCATCTGACGATGTGGTACCATCGGGATCGTCAGATGCCCGAAGACATACAAGTGGTATTGGCATAAAAAGAAATGCGGATGTGGATAACAGATGTCGGAACGTATAAAACTAGCTTAACCTTACAAAAAGTAGTGTCCGGTCCATTTCATAGGAAATCGTTCCACTAATTTCCAAAAAAAATATGTTAGTAAAGTTTTATAAGTTTTTTCAATCGCCTTATCTTCAAGTATATATTTTTTAATAACTATACCTTATATTTCAAACATATGTTTATGTGTAGTCATCTAATGAGGTATTTAATAATTAGTAATAAATCTGAACGAGTTTTACGATGAAATAAAAATGTCTTGGAAATATATCAAACGCAGTGCGTATTGTGAGCTGTCTTGGCTAAATATTATAATATGTATTAATGCCAATTCTCTGTCCATTATTGAGGGTTTTTGAGTTTTATCAGCAGTTTCAACACTTTATCATTATTTGAATCAAGCTGTCGACGACTAGTCTTTGTGGCGAGGCTTGGTGGAGGCTTATGTCCAGCAGTGGACCACCGTGGACGGCTGATAATAAGATGAAGAGGTTGACTAGTCGAGTCGAGCACAATCGAGTTGTGCTGAAATTTTGATTTATCGATACATTAAAAACAACCGAGATAAAGGCAATTTAAAGATTTTTCAATACGCTATGATCCTCAGACTTGGGCCGTGGCTCAATCGACAGTCAGCGTCCATAGTTCGTGCTACAAAAGTAAACGATTTACATGACGCTTTCCTCGCAAAATGTAAAATTAACTTTGCCTTTTGTGTTGGGTTTCGTTCCGATGTAACGTCACAACTTTATTCGCTTATCATCGATACTCAATCATTTAACTAACAATTAATTAATTAATAGTTAATTTAATTTTCTTGGCCCTTTACTTGTTGAGGTATTAACGATTCAAATATTCGTTTTCCTATATTTTTTTCAGTATAGTATTGTTGAAAGTATTTACGCATAATATCGTCTTCTCGCATTAAAACTGTATAATCTCAAAACTTACTAACTTCACAGGAGAGTGTTTTAAAGATTTAACTTGTGATATTTTTAATATTAATCATCTTTGCAGTATTTATTTTTCATTTTTTACCAGTTTACATTATCTGTCTTTTAAAGTAAGATAAAATTATGTTTTAATTTTGTTAAAAGTAAGTAGTTAAAACATAGTTAAACTAAAAAAAAAAAAAAACTAATCTACGCTCTTTTGACAGTATTTATGAGAAAAATATTGGAGATACCAAATGATTGCGCATATCAACTCGATTTCGAATATTTTTGGATATTGTACACTTTTAATGCGAAAAGACGATATGTATTTAATAAGAAAATAACTTCACACTCTTGTTTTCTGTTTAAAGAAATTGAGAAACCTAATTGAAATTTTAACTTTTTATATTTGGGCATCCATGTTCGCGCCCCGCCCATTTCTACTAGAGCCCATAAGCATCGCAACGCCAACGGTGTCACAGAATTTAAAACAGTCCCAATTGTTCCCACGAACTTCGGGGCGACTGTAATATATTAGGTGTAATAGCGTTAAAGACAATATTCCTTCTAAAACAAACAAATTATAAATGAAAATTAAGATAAGTTTTGATAGTTAAAAATAAATTAATTCGACTTCCGTCCCTTTATCATGAAGAATGTAAAATTAGAACTATAAAAGCATAGCTTGAGCTCAACACTAATTTTAAATTCACTAACGAACGTCACAAGAACTAGCACGTACATAAAATAAGTGTTTTAAAACCGAAATCAACTCACCAAATACAGTCATTTGTTTCGTTCTAGAATCTTCCTCCATAAAAGTTGACACAACACACGTGTAATCACCAGAAATGTCTGTATTGGGCTTAACTATACGTAATGCTCTGTGCATCTTCAGTGGATCGTTAGACGCCCGATAAGTGAGGTCCACCCGGCCTCTGAGTATGCCCATGTCCTGTGGCTTTTGAGGCACTATCCATTGATAAACCGGCCTCGCGTTGTTCTTGAAGAACCATTTAACCATGAGGCCGGACGTGTTGTTTCCGTATGTGTAATCACAGTCTAATATAACAGCGTCTTGTACACCGTACTGAATTATCTCGGGGACCACCACTTTCACTATCTTCACTGCGTTTCGACCTGGAACAAAACAAAAATGCATTAGTAAATAAAATTAAAAAAAGATGTATCAATGGATGCAGTACAGTCACGATAAATCTATATTACGTGAAGGATAAAATTATTACCCCTTTTTAAGAAACTTGTGCGGACAGAGGAGTATGAAATTTCCCACGCTTATAGAGATTATAGAGAAGGAGTGCAGAATGCTAATGCTAATATTTTTTTTTAAATTATGCAAGTCTGTGGTCAAATTGAGAATAGGTTAGTAGTGAGTTGGGAGAGTCTTGGCGAAATCTGTGATTATAGGAGTATAATAGTCTTTGACAATAGAACCATAAAAATGTTTAAACTTATAATTTCAATTAATTATGGTCGAATTTTGACTACTGCAGGACCACTAGTACCACTCTTTAGAAGAATCATATATCCATTTCTTTGCTATTTAATTTTTGTTTGAGAAGATAAGTGAAAGAGCCCTTCGGAATATATACTGTAAAGTGATTACCAAAGATCGCAAGCATTACAACGTGAATGCCACCAGCTACCTTCTTAATACTTGAGGTTAAAGCCGCAATTAGCGCAATAGCCGCAATAGCGCTCTCATGGCGGAATGAGCTCCCCTCTACTGTATTTCCCGACGCTATGAAATGTCCTTCTTCAAACGAGGCTTGTTAAAAGGTGGGCTGCGACTTGGCTCTGCACCTGGGATTGCTAACGTCTATGAGAGACAGTAACCACTCACCATCAGGTGGGCCGTATTCTCATCTGCCTGCAAGGCCAGTAAAAAAATGATGGTAGCTACCCATATGCTCAATATAGGCATATTGAGAATATGCCACTAGTAAATTCCTGTTGGTAATTGTAGTATGCTAATATAATGATCAGAGTACACTACTGCTCGTTCTTCGATGAATCCCTTAGTCACCTTTTGTGTCGTCCACGAGATAATATGTGGTAGGATCATTTCAGGACGACATCACATAACCATTCTACATTTATGTGAATTCTAGTTCATCAGATTATAATAAATTCAAAAAAATCATCACTGTTTTCGTTGCTGAAGCCTACCGTCGTAGGCGGTAGGCAGCGGCTTGGCTCTGCCCCTGGCATTGCTGAAGTCCATGGGCGACGGTAACCACTCACCATCAGGTGGGCCGTATGCTCGTCTGCCTGCAAGGGCAATAAAAAAAAAAAAAAAAAAAAATAGTGAACCAGACAACGGGGTTCGTGCTTGATTGCCTGTCGAAATTATTTCCTTATCTCATTATCTTAATGAAAACTTATGGAATTTCAAATCTGGTCAAATGTACTTCTCTTTGTTTGTATAGTTTTATATGCAATGTGCAGTGCCCGTGTGAGCTAATTACATTTATCTAACACCGTTAGCTGAGTACTCGAGCCGTAGTTTGTAACAAGCTCGTCCAGGATAAAGGTATTGCATCTATTCGAATTGAGACTTTTAAAATAATTGTTGTTGTTGTTGTTGTTGTTGTTGTAGTCCTAGGGTACCCCGTTGGTACATAGGGCCCTCACAAGTTGTCTCCACTTTACCCTGTCTTGCGCTTGCTCCTTGACATCACTCCAGGTCACGTTGGCAGTCCTCATCTCATTCTCCACGGTGCGTCGCCAAGTGTGTACAGGGCGACCAGGTCTTCTCCTGCCAAGCGGTTACCACTCAAACGCGATTGATGCTGCGTTGACTCAGCTGCGCCTTAGAGTGTGTCCAATCCAACGCCATTTCCGATGAGCAATGTCTTGCGCGATGGGATTTTGGTCACATTTAATCCAAAGGTCTTTATTAGAGATAGTGAATGGCCAGAATATGCGGAGTATCGACCTCAAGCACTTATTTACAAATACCTGCAGTCGGTTCAAATTAATTATTAATAAAATATTTATTATAAAGTAAATAATACGAAATAGAGTTATATTTTCAGGACAATTCTAGGAACTTTTTAATAATATGACCTAGCACGCGATCTTCGCCGTGGCAAAATATATCGATGACATCATTATCTTTGAGGTCAGCAGTGTTAAACATGTGACTTAAATATTTGTATCGATCAGTCGTAATNGCCTACCGCTTAATACTCTCCATAAGCCTCGTTTGAAGAAGGACATGTCATAGCGCTCGGGAAACACCGTGGAGGGGAGCTCATTCCATAGCCGGATGGTACGTGGCAAAAAAGATCTCTGGAAACGCACTGTGGATGACCGCAGTGGCTCCAGGTAGTATGGATGAACTCTACTCCGGTGGCGGGCGGTGCGATGGTAAAAATGAGATGCTGGTATCATCTCGAACAATTCCTCAGAGCACTCCCCATGGAACATACGGTACAAAATACAGAGGGAACCGAAGTCCCTCCGCAGACCGCAGACAGACAGACATTATAGGTTTATTAATGTTTTATTGAACATAACCTCAATATGACATCAGTGACATATTATTTCTTCTGTTTTGTCGACTCTTCAGAAATAACATTCGAATTCGAATAATAATTAAAATGACATAACTAATACTAATTTAAACTACCCTCCTTTTCTTGCATTATGTTATTTTTGACGTTTTTCAAACGCTTTACGATTTCCGCGATCATAGAAGATTAAGTATCATTGATATTTGAATATTGTGCAAAAAATCGTGTTTTTTTTTTCTACGAATACATTCTACTTTTCAATTTTGATTTCTTAAAGATTGATGTGAGCCAAAAATGAGATTAACCGATACATGTTATTTTGATAAACAAAACGACCCAATATCTCAACTTGTCTCAGATAATGTAAGCTGTGTTCGTAACTGATTGTTTCTCCTACCATGAATATTAATCGCGTCCATTGTAGATACCCGTCTGAAGAATTTATCACAATATTGCGTGTTCGATTTCGAATTAGCCGTAAATAAAACAATTTTAGCGTCACTTTAAATTATTAGCCGCCAGTGCTAAGCTGTGCATATAATGTGACACGTTTGAAAATGACGGACAATGTATGAATACTTCTTTTGTCGAATTGGCTACCATCGCTAATGGACAACAACAGTATTGGGGGTACAACTAAGCCCATTTCTACTGAATACTTTCAAACCTCGATTGAAATAGAGTATCGACGGAAGAAAACGGAATTGTCGTAACTTGAAAAACCTTTACGCCAGAGCCTAAAAACTACATATTTCAAAAATACATAACTCATATTATATTTATAGAGATAAATAGTTGAAATTTGTTAGGTATGTATTTATAATAATAGACTCGGATAGGTTTTAGATTAAGTTTAGGTTTTTCAAGTTATGACAGTTCCGCTTTGTTCCGTCGACATGGTTAGAACGCTTGGGAAGCTAGTAGCAAGGAAAGGGAACGGTAAAAGTTCATTTGTTAGATAGATGTAGAAGTTCATTTCAGAAAAATTGGATGACATGTACTAAAATTAGCTTAGAACTAGCGGAAATGTATTATGATTTATTACTGGTGGTAGGACCTCTTGTGAGTCCGCACGGGTAGGTACCACCACCCTGCCTATTTCTGCCGTGAAGCAGTAATGCGTTTCGGTTTGAAGGGTGGGGCAGCCGTTTTAACTATACTTGAGACCTTAGAACTTATATCTCAAAAAGAGTAGCGCATTTACGTCATAGATGTCTATGGGCTCCAATAACCACTTAACATCAGGTGGGCTGTGAGCTCGTCCACCCATCTAAGCAATAAAAAAAGTACTGTAAATGAAAAAATTTACTTCAGACCACGCGGATGGAGGTATATTTTGCAACCAAAAAGAATTAAATCAGATAATCTTAAACAATTCTTCAGACCACGTAGTCTTCTTAAATACAGATCTAAAAATCTTAAGTAACGTGTATGAGACCTGCTCATAGTTCACCTGGTTTTTTTTCTTTAACTTTTATCTTTTTATTTTATATTTTATCCACTAAAATACAATAGAATTATAGAGAAACATTTCAATTTTGTTCATTTTCATTTTATATTATTGAATGTATTTCCGCATTTCTTATTATGAATGATAACAGTGTACAGTGTCAGTCAAAGGAACGTCGAGAAAACAACAACGCTGTTATTGTTTCTTCGGCAGTTTTTGTTGATAATAGACTCGTTTAAATCTGAATAAACAATCATTAAATCAACGATCACAAAAAGGAGATTGAATGTTATTGTTTTTTGTTGTTCGAATTTTGATTCGAAGAAGATTATGTTTTGACTAAGACTCTCTTTGTACTATAAATAATGAATATAACATTACGATCATTTTTAATTCGGATTATTATTATTTAGCAAACTCTATAATTTTTTCTGAAATTTATATATTTGTCAAATCCCGATCGCGATAAGGAGAGCATTAATATATTTAGCCAATGTATTTAGTTACAAGAAAACACTTATTCTACAAAAATCTCTGTTGCTTTCATTGTCTAATACTCACTCACTAATAATATCTGTACTTTTGATACGTCCACGACATAATGTCTGCGGCACCAAAATAGTCGCCTGAGTCACTTTTTATGACATAACATAATTCTCACTTTAATATTTTTGTGTACAGAATTATGTCTATCGAAAAGAAGAAATTAAAATTACAATACTTCACATGGAATTATTTTTTCAGCATGCCAAAACGATACATTTTATGTGTGCAACAAAACAGAAAAACAACTATTATATTTTTAAATTAAATCCTTAAGTTTCAATGCTTAAAATTATTTATAGCCCTGTAAAGCTATTTAAAAGTCAGACTCTAAATAGCTGTGTACTGAAGAACCAATAAAACATTTACAAGGTACACGTTCAAAATTGGCTTTAAGGAAATTTTCCGCACCCCACTAATCTATAGCCATCAGTCTTGTAGTAAGGCCATTAATATTTATGCAATTCCCCAGTCAACAACGCTGAGAGGTTATTTAAATTCATCCTTGGGAATGCCTAAAAGCAGAGATAGGCGCCACCTAAAAATTTGATTCACACTTAAAATTTCACAGAGGTAAATAAAACGAGCCTTCAGATAACTGATTCATA